TGTGCAATTCTTAATGACCATGATGAACACAGCGTGTATTTTATCCTAATCGCTGTTAATTGAGTTCATTTAATTATCATTCGAATACGCACCTTTTCAATTGTCATAGTGAGAAAAATTCGAGAGGGGTAAAGGTGAGTGATTCATAGATGTAAAGAGACAGATGGACATAAATGCAGAGAAAAGGTAAGATGAGTACTGCTGAAGTGTTCGAATTTGGCATACAATGGGGTCATGGTAGTTTGAAGTCAGAAGTCAACTGCCAGTTAATAGACTTTTTGCCGTATGAGTATACGTTGTCCAGGCTGCACCACGAGGAGGTGGGTCTATCGCGCACACCTGCCGTTTCAATCGTAAGTAATCTTATTCACAGTCCAATTGTAACGCCGTATTTACTCCTAGTCATTTCAGCTTTTTAATATAGACAATATTATGAGTCCTGTTTTGAACGTTGAGCACTTTTTCGGAAGATTTCATTAATGCTCTTTGAGTGGAACTTGACAGTTTTGCATATTTGAGCACAAATATACATGCATTGTGCCGTATTTACTCAAAATTAATGGCCACTAACTTCAACTATTTTTATTATCCAATGCAGAATGAAAATTGGTATAATTTTATATGATATGTAGCGCCTAAACTCAAAGAACAGTTCTACCAAGGGATGATGCGAGTGCCAAAAGACAAGATTAAATCTAGGTAACAAACAAGCTCTAATATAACTAAATTGGGATTGAATTTGGTCGGGTCAGGAGTTGTTGAATAAAGCCTGGAATTATTGATCTACCCATTTCATCCCTGTTTAACCTAATTGTGTTCAAATGCTCCGTGGATAAGATTGGCCATCTTGCTGGATCAACAGTTACAAGATTATTTCCAGTTTCACTTATCTACCATTGAGTGTAACAAGGTAAAAATAAATTGAGGTGGCGTGACCAACCATGGGATAAATTAAATAGTAAGCAAGATCTGTATGTTGTAGACATAATTTTACTGTGAATCTGGAAGTCAATTCGTGAAATTTTTAGCATTATAACAGGCTAAAAGTAATCATACTGCTTATAAGTACACATATGCAACCTAATGCTTCCATAATTGAAGCAAAGAAAGTCTCCTGCTTCCTATTGACCCTCTTCTTCCTTTTCCAAATGCTTTCCGCTAATTAAAACTTTTAAGATTTCTGCGCTGCCATAGACAGTGAAAGTAATTAATTAAGAAATTGTCAATCTCGGCACATCTCACGCTTTCTCCTGCTTTTCAGAGTCAAAAAGTAATTCATTATGTCCTTCAAAAGTTAAGTTAAATAAGAACTGGTCGGATTCAGAAGTTCTTGTGTTTCACGATAGTTTGAAAATTTTGCTTTTTATGGACACTATTCATCTTAATAACCGTCCACTGGCGAAGCTTTAAATGCGCAATTATTTGAACCATTATTTTCCGGATAAAATCATTCTTACGGCCTATTCTTTAATGTTAGTTGAGAGGACACGCTTCCATTAACCAGCTCACTCTTCCTCCCGCAGTGCTACTTTTTATTTCTGATCTAATTTAATTTTAAAATCCATTAAAATTAAATTTAGACGCGAGATCAAGTAAGTATTGGCATTTCAAAATCGATTAAGTGCTAAAATATTCGTACATCTTTTATTTCACCTGCGTAACTACGCAGTCGAATGCCTAGTCAGATGCATTTGGAATTTTTTATTTTTTCGCAGACTTACTACCCCTGCTGAGGCATTGAGCACATTCATAAAATTGGTATCAAAAATAATGGCGTGGGGGGACATCTATCCAAGAGTTGTAGATAGAGGGTTTTATACCATTTCATTAGTATTTACACGTGGCGACGTAAAAATTCGATTTCAATAATGTGTAATCAGGGATAAAATGATATTCTAAAGAAATCTCATAGGTTGTATAAATAGGTGATAAGTGCTAGGACTTCAATGGAGTTCTGTTGGAGAATGCAGAGTTCACCACATTTTCAACATTTTATTTAATATCTCCTCAGAGTGCCGTGATCTAAAGCTCAAATGTTGAGAATTCCGATGTGATCCAAGGTTTTGAGTAATAATCGCTCTGATTAAGACTGAATTGAAGTGTTAAACATATTAGTTAGATACAGCGGTGCTCATTCTATTGAATTTTTGTAGTGTTGCAATAGTAGTTGTAGAAACATAATATTCAATATAGAATGAAGCTATCGGTTCTGAATGTAAGACTCGAGTCATCAATGATCGATGTGTTACATATTGTCTATCTTGAATGAACACCGCTTATTGAGTTCCAATAAATCATGCATTTTAACTATCCTCTCTACACTCTTTTAAAACTGTAAGCTACCGCATATCATCGGAAATCAATTTGGCTTCCCAATCATTATATTGGAGGAGGCGGGGGGGGGGGGGGGGGGGGGGAGAGGGAGTTGATCAGTGTCAAAGACAACCTGTCACTAGTCGGTAATCCAGATGACAATCTGGGATTCGAAATGAAACATGTCTCTGATAATCTGGATTTTGTCTCAAAATGTTTTCAATCTCCTTCCCTTTGCCATTCATTGCACTTACTGTTAGTAGATTTAGGCTAGTTAACCACAAGGAAAGATTGTAATGTGCCTTTTACTTAGTTCAAAACGTACCTTAGTGAAATTTCGCAATTTTATTGCATTAGAGTATGGTACATTTAGCACATTCTTGGCCTTAAAGCGATTAAGTTCATTTTTATTGTGAGTCAGTCCTAACTAAATTTTAATACCAGTTTAATTCATTTTAATAATTACCTTTCTCATAGAGAAGATAACTCAGCACTTCCTAGATATTTCAGGCTGTAATTGCTGGATGTCTAGTGAAATTTTTTGCTAACATAACTTCTCTTTCATTATTTTAACCATCTGATTGATATTTAATGCTTTGAACTGACCATCGTGCCAAACTAAACTTTCATTAAATAACTCAATACTGTGAACATTTCAGCTAAACGAAGAACCAAACTTGCTGTAAAAACTTATGTGATTATGCTATTTTTAGATAATTTCTATGCCCCTCAATTCGTTTTTCATCAATGTGTACGCATGTTATTTTGGTTTAATAGCAAGTAACTTGACGATAGTTAGAAGTGTCTTTGAGCTCTAACGTGTATAACGGCTCCATAGGGCCTATAGGGTGGGTGGAATGTATCTTTGGCCTGAGAGGTATTGACCAAAAGGGGCGGGTAGGTTGACTTGGTGCCAATCAGGCCGTTAAAATGCGAACAAAGTCTCTAACTTGGCTTTTTTTTGTGGGCGCAAGGAGGTGGGAGCGAAGGGAGGTTGGATTTAATTACTGAAACTTGTGGCATAAAAATAATATCTTCCATGTCATCAAGTGGCCTCGCAATAAAAATAATTCAATTCTATCAAAATACTAAATAAAAAGTCATGTTCAAAATAACTGTTTACCAGAATTTCCTTCTGATAGATTTATCTATTCAAACCAAACTGAAATTTAAATGAAGCTTAAAAAGTTCTCCAGTTCTAGTCTGCCAAGATAAGTTGCTTAAGCTAACAGAAAACAGTATTCATTACTATAGGAAATTAAACGGTATCTATTGATGTATCTTTTGGAGAAGGAGAGGAAACTCAAATTCTCTCCATCACCCAATTGCATTAGAATTGTTGTTGTTCACTTTTAATTCTCCGACTTTATAATAATTACAATGGTGGCTAATTTAACTTTAGTGTTTGAATTGTAGTGGCTAATCAACTCAATTTTATTTAATGGGAGATTTGCAAAGAAATGGCTTTTTTTACTCCAAACGATGGTTCGTTAGTCAAGTCACTTTTTTATTTTCACTTCACGATTAGCGAAAGAATACGCCTGTCTCACTTTTATGAAATTCTGGAAGAGAGATGTGGAATTTTTGCTTTCCTTCTCCTATTCAATTAACTCGGTGAAAAGGTGAAAAGGATTCAACAAATTACCTCAAACCAATAAGTTCTGCAACTTTCTCACATCGAATGGGAAGAAAAGTGGTGATGAAAAGTGATGTTAGTTTAATGCAACGCCATGAGGGATTTGGCGTTTCTTGATTAGCTCTTCATTCTGCTAGGAATATATTAGTTTGTATGCAATAAATTTGGATTTTCCAGTGATGCTCGATTTCGCCGGCACAACGCTAACATTCATAAGCGTCTTGTATGAAGTTGAGGAAATTAAGTCAATTATTGTTTCTGTTTTGTAGAGTTGGTATGGCAGACGGACCTGAATTTTATATTTCCAAGTTTGTCTCCGAAAGAAGTGATGAAGAATACACGCATTCGGTATCCAGATCTTGCCAACAAGTTAGCATCATCAGACTTATTTCCAACTCGCCCCAAGGGCACGGACTTGTTGGCGGTTCAACCGCCTGTCCTTGGAGGAATCGGTCAGCTGCCACAAACCAGGCGGCAGGAGATTGTAGTAGACGAATTGAAATCGGCGATTTTACACCACTCTACTGGAGTCAAAATGGCACACAATGAATACGTTTCTGGTCTGAACGATGCTTCTCAGCGACCGCCCTCACTAGAGTTCATCAATTGTTTCCTCTCACTTGCCTTTCTTGCCATTCGTATTGCAACAAATTTTTGGAGAGTTTGGCCTACCTTCTCCTATCTCGCTTCTATTCTCCTCATAGTTACTGCTATTTACCTTGTTGTTGAGTACGCAGCTGTCAGTTTGTTGGTGCAATTGACAGCTTGTCTCACCACAAGTTCAAACTCAAGTTTCATCTATGGAACTCTACTTATGGTGAGGTTACCAATGAGATTGACATCTTGGCAAATGGTCCTTCTTAGCGCCATTGGTTTTGTGGTAAGCCTAAGTAGTTATGTGATTCTTTTTCATCTGGGCGTTCGTCACTTCTATAAAGCAATTCAAAAGAATTACTACACTGTCGCGAATGTCCTTAGACTTACTAAAGGAAACTCGAATGGCGCATATAGATTGCAGCGACCATCAACAGCTTGGAGTGAAATCCCATCATTCAATGAAAAGGAGGGCTATTGCGATTGCCACCGTCGACCACTATACAATCGTACCCTCATTATCTTTGGTTTTCTTTCACTCATTGCTAATATTACCATTCGACTGCCATGTTTATGCGATATATTTCTCCTCTATTGGAATGAAAAAGACTATCTTTGTCTTACTGCTGTCGTACTTTTCGTTTGTGTTCATTTAGCATGGCTTATGATTTGGTTCGGATTCGCCATGAAGCAGAAATGGAACTTCCATATGCCTTATCCAGGAACCGTTCCCCAGGGCATGGATCCAAGCACCCAAAGTCAATTTCTATCAGACCCACCAATTCAAGGACAGTTAACTTACTCTCCAATTCCAGAGTGTGATGAGGAAGCCTCATTGTCATTAAGAAATCAGACATTTTTCTCGCCCTTGCAGCTCCAAAATCCAGACGTATCTTTTCAGCCACCAATTTCCCTACCCTCTACTCAAATGCTTCATAACTTAAATAGCCCTAGATACTCGTTTAGAATTCCAATTTCAAACGAAATAATGACAAACAAATTATGCGAAACCCATCAATCTAATGGTGGGAGCGAAACGCCTCCGATAGTGGGCCGATATTTTCTCACACCCACTGGACAAAAGTATGCTTCGATAAGACGGTTTAACCAATGGGATGTGGAGCCACCTAATGAAAATAAGCAAAATGTGTTGATTAATGTCTCGGCGACATGTCCCCATAGTCAAACTGATCGTGGCCCTCGAACGATATCCGGTGAAACTGCAAGGAGTAGTGATACTCGACCCCAGTCGGTAGTCCTACAACCAATAGATGATGGGAGCGCACTATTAAGGGTTACACCAATCGCCACACGGGAGAATAGTCGAAGTACGGCCAGTTCTGGAGATCATGTTTGCAGCCGAGTTTAATGGAAATGTTCGGTGAATTCTCCTCGCTCCTCGCCATGATTTAACTTTCTTGTATCTCCCTCTTTGAATTAAAAAAAATCAGGTGGTAGGCGCACTCATTGAAGCGTGTTAGTGCTCGGCCATGCCATCTCAAGAGGTGATCATATCCGCGAAACCTATGGGATCATCTGCATGTTGATCTGAGTTCTACCAACTTTTCACAAACGCCATCTTCCCCCTTTGTACATACCTGTATTTAATAATAATAATAATCAACATCATCATATTGGCTCGTGTCAGCTTATTCGTCTCCTGTAGACGGATGACCTGTCAGCAAGCCGTCATACACGCAGTCTGCACATTGTGGCAAATTTGGAGAGATTTTTAAGTTCCGGCTGACTGAAGTTCTCACATTGTGTGCTAATTAGCACCCCCCCCCCTCCCCACTGTGAAAATGTAAGCTTTTTCTCCAATTAGACTATTAACTAGCTCGTCACCTAAATACCTAATCACTCATTAATATTTATTTATATCAAATGGCAGGCGTTCTGATAGTTATCATTAGCACTTTAGTTGACTTCAGTCTTCACAGAGTTTATCATTAGCCCTTTAGTTGACTTCAGCCTTCACAGAGGAAAAAAAGTCAAAAGGGGGGAGGCGAAGAGTGTTTCAAAGCGAAGGTAGAAAAAAGGTGAGGTGAGTACTGTGGAAGTAGTCGAATATGACATACAGTGGGGGGTGATGGTGGTTTGAAGTGAGAAGTCAACTGCCAGTTAATAGACTTTCTTGCCGTATGAATATACGTTGCCCAGGGTGCACCACGTGGAGGTAAGTCTATCGCTCACCCCTCGCTCATTAATATTGAGTGCCACAAATGAAATTTTAAAGAGAGTCATGAAACAGAGCGTGGAACTTCTTATTTTATTTTACTTCTGAAGATAATTCCATAAAATTACTGCATTCAGTAAAATGTAATGATTCAAATTTTATATGGGTACTTGTTTAATGCGTTATTTATTGGATAAGAGTCCATTGGCATTATGCCGTGGATTTCACACTTCCATAGCTACTTCGAAAAGTATCCACTAAATCAGAGTTGATTTAAAAATTAGATTGCATTTATTATTAAACTTAGGGTCTTATGTGTTTTGTCACTATGGGTAACTCATCTGTTGTCATTTTGGACATTATATCAATCATGCTGAAATGATACGTTGTGCGAAAAATGGAAATTTATTAGTTAAACCAGATAATATGCACACTCACACTGACATGGGAAAAGCGGTCCTCTTGATTTTTACTCAATCATTTGATGGAATGCAACGAAACTCAAGGTGGTGGCAAAGCTAACATCAACTCGAGATATTTTTTCCCTTTTTGGTAGATAGGGATAGACAGGTATTAACCTCCTCCATGTACCCATTACGGCGTATGTGCTCTTTCGTTCAACATTGAACTCCTGAAAACACCAACTCAGGGTGCAATTAATTTGTCCATTGCAGGCAATCCTAGATCGAGGAGTTTTATTAAATATGAAGAACAGAAAAATGCTTTCTTTTCTACTTTTTGGGAAAAAGGCATGAGTTTCCAGGCATAATTTTATCTAAATCAGTACATACTAAGGTCACTGTGAACTGTTAAAGAGAGGGTGAGAAGAAAATAATTACTCCAGAGTGCTGCTTTTTTGCCCACACACACACACACACACACACACACACACACACACACACACACACACACACACACACACAGAGAGAGAGAGAGAGAGAGAGAGAGAGAGATCTGCTAATCTGCAATTGACTCTCTAACGCAACAAAATATGTGAAGGAGGAAAGTGTACTTTACCCGTTTGCTTCCACCCATTTATTTTTGTTCCAAGTCGGCTTCTCGAACTCCTCATCCCCGACTTCTTTCACCACCAGTCACAATATATTGATATTACTAGACCAATGCTCACTGGTGTTTCAATATAGGTCTGTTTTCTTTAACCAATATTTGAAATTGGCGATCTTTTATCCGCCTTTTCAAGAGTAAACTTTGCTTTGCCAGATTTTGCATCCGCTTGGGAGGGAAACCATGAAATTCCCCATGTAAAAAGCTTGCACGGCTTGAGTCGTTTATGAACTACTTTCAAATCCCTCATTAATAATGTCATTACTCTGAACTCATTATCCGCTACCCCCGGGACCTTCTATTGCCTCCATTTTATTTGTTTGGATAAGTACTTTAAATTAAAAGTGAGTACTATTTTTCCCTTTAAGCAGCCAAAGAAGGATCTTTTTCATTTAAGCAAACGAAGCATTTCCTTTACCACTTTCACTCTCAGTTAATCCAAGTGCCTATCTATTCACTTGCATCAGTTAAGTAACATTTCCAATCAAACCTCCTAAGAACTGAAGTTGGCTTTTATGTCCATCAAAGTGTTGTTTGGTAAGAGGTGGTCTTCTTAACGGGCTATTTTTTATAATATACTTCACCAAACACTCTCTCTTGTCACATATTTGCCTAGAATGCATTACTAGTGGGACAGTAGCTTGGTCAAAGAGTGTGGAGTGTTCAACGCTACTTGGTTCGCCATGGAACCTACACTGTGAATGCAGATAACTCACATTCATTCAGTGATCGTGCTTGTGGAAAGTTGAAAAACATCGATTTTATTTAATGTCTAATCCTGTGGGTACTTTGCCAACATATGCAATGAAAGTTATTATTATTATTATTATTAATATTATTTCAAATGGCAGTTAATTAACAGCGGTTCATTAGAAGTCTTCTTGCTTCCCAGTATCTCTGGCTTTCCGTCGTTGTCTTTAAGGCTGGACACCGGATCAGGTGGGTCTTCTCAATTCCCTCCTGTAGGTTACATATGGGCATGTGGGTTGAGTGTATACTCCCAATCTGTGAAGGTGTTTTGGCAAGCAATTGTGTCCGGTACGTAGTCTAAACTCAGCAACGGCTTCGATTCTTGGCCAGTCGGGTACGTCGGAGAGTGCCACTGTCCACTGTTTCTCCTTTGTTCGAGCTTTGAGTTCGTTGCACCTTGAGGTATGGAATTCTCTCCTGATTAAGGCCTTCGTTGAGTGGAAAGACATCGGCTATGCAATGAAATGAAATGTGCTCTGTCTCCTGTTAGCTAATTTCGGAGACGTCTCGTACAAGGGGATTTTGCCCCTAGGGTTTTGTCAAAGATATTTCTGAAGTATTCGCTACAAGGGAAAACTATACCCATATATTTTTTTCGCAGTATAGTGTGATGAGTATATGATTTCGGAAATTTTATTTTACACCTGCATATCCTCAAGAATGGGGCACACGTGACACACGATGGTAAATTGAGTCAATGTTGCAATTGCGGAATATCACTTTAAGGAGAAACAGAGAATTAACAAATCAGGGGACCCTATTGGATTCAGATAAAACCGAGTTTCCAATTATTTACAAGGCCTTTTTAAATCAACCTAAATTTTAATACAAGAGGCCAAGTCAATGTTACTTTGTCTTGTTTATTAATAAGACGGAATAAGAAAAAGTTAAATCTTCTAAAGCCAAATATGCATGTTTAAACATACGAATGATGGAATACAAAAATAGCTCTTATGGAAATTCAAGTGTTCTAATCCAAATATGTACGCCGGTGATGCATTGGTTGGGGGTCACGAGAGTAATGCTCAGCATTGATCACTCAAAGCTGACTTAGATGGGCAACTGCACTGACCAAATTCTGTTCAATGATGATGAGCAAGAAAGTTACTTTTACATAGAAGTCTTAAATACTTTTAAATACTTTATTTATTCATTTTATATTGCCTTTGAGGGGTGTGTGATAGACTTACCTCCACGTGGTGCACCCTGGGCAACGTATACTCATACGGCAAAAAGTCTATTACCTGGCAGTTGACTTCAAACTACCATGACGCCACTGTACGTCATATTCGACTACTTTCTCAGTACTCATCCCACCCTTTTCCACCTTATCTACCCTCGTCTTTGATACACTCTTTTGTCCCCCCCCCCCTCTTGAATTTTTTACACTTTGATGTTCCTTCCCCTCTGTGAAGACTGAAGTCAACTAAAGGGCTAATGATAACAACCAAAGCGCCTGCCATTTGATATAATAATAATAATAATATTGCCTTTGAATAAATCTTGTGTATATTTTTTAAGGTTTAATTTTTTTAAATTTCACAATTTTAAAAGGTAGGTCTGACTTTGTGAACCCCTTTATAGAGAACTCACTTAAAGTCAACGAAAAATCAGACGGATTGGCTATAATTACAATCTACAGCGAATCAGATCTAATCTCTTGTGGATTTTAGACAAAAATTGAGAGTAGTAAGAAGTGCTGCCTTAGGCCAGAGAGAGGTTAACTTTCGGTTGAAATGTTTACAAAACAAAGGACACCACTTGCGAAAGTTCTTTAACGATCTTGAAACTTCTTGCCTTGATCAATTAGCCCAATATTATGTCGGTGTTTTTCGTGTGTACAAGATAACTTCAGAAACAGATTTCAATAGCTTTCTGTGGGTGTGAGTGTTTATTCTCCGTGCAGCTATGTGCTATCTCAAATTTAACGGTCTAATGATCAAAATCGGAACTACATTCGGGTTTGTCGACTGTAAAATTGATTTATATTACGTTCAACGTCTCTTGAGATAAAACGCGCAAAGCAAGTCCCTTGGGATTACTTCGTAGTTTTACTTGACTTCTGCCGGTCAACAATGAAAAACTCCTGAATGCATGAATGGTAATTTCCTGAAGTTGTCGCATTGTAACAGGCAAATTAGGAGCCGGGGATAATCCTTCTTCCGTTTCATTTCCAGGTAGAAATTCATTTTCTTCCTAATGACTTCTTTCCTTTGCGCGCCATATTTATTTGCGTAATACAACACAAGGGGGCTGATAACTTTTAGTTTTGGTATTTATTCCACTTCTTAAAGATATTATCTAAAAGAATGGTTCTTGGTTTTCGCTAAAAATATAAAGCAAAGTGCTAAAATACCTGCTATTTGTTAATTAGTGCT